CCTCACACTTGCTTAGGTAAGTGTTCTACCACTTGAGTCATGCCCCAGTTCTTTTGCTTTTTGGTTTGTTTTCCAGATAGGGTCTCACATTTTTTCCCACACTGGCTTTGGATTTCAGTCCTCCTACCTCCACCTCTTGAACCGCTAGGACCACAGGTGTGCACTACTGTGCCCATCCACTCCCTTACATTTTGAATGCACGTGTTGAGTGCATACTCCATATCAGGCACTGGGCTGACTCCTGGGGACCTACAGGAGAGTCAGACCAAATCCTGGGTGCTGCCAAGAGAGCAGACAGACAGACAGGAGACACTGAGGAGATGTGATGGGGCACCCAATGCTATGGGAACCAGAGGAGGCCTAGAAAGTCAGGGAGTCTTCCAGGGCAGGTGATGCTTCAGCAGAGTAGGGCTAATAAGTAATCCAAGAGGGGCTGAAGGACAGGGTGGCGGGTGTTCCAGCCAGAGGGAACAGCAAGGCCAAAGGCCTGGTACATTCTAGGAACATGAACTCTGTGTGTCTGTAGGGCCCACACACTAGGGAGGAGGGGGAGGAGATTGGGGAGGACAGCCTAGGAAAGTGGAGTCTGAGCTCTCACCCCAAGGGTGATAGGGAGCCATAGAAGGGTTCTGAGCAGAATGACACGGTCAGATTTGACTGCTGTCTATTTGGTGGAACTGATGAGGGGAGCATAAAGGTAGTTTGGACTATTCTTGAAGCTAGGACAGGTGGGCAAGAGGAAATGGACCCCAGGGCTCCTGGGAGGGTGGATGTGGGGACTGGCTGCAGGGGAGTAGGGAGGATGGAGTCTGAGGTATAGGGCAGTTCACAGAGGAAAATAGCCACCTTGGGGGACATCACTTGCTGTGGCACAGCCTGGACTCCAGCAACCCCTTCCCCACAAAGCAGGGCTGGTGACCACAATTCAGGGTCTTCCTTCGACGCCACACTTGGTCCCAGCTCCAAAGATACCCAGAATCCTGTGAGGCTTCCGGAAGGTTGATCCAGGCAGCAGTCCCAGGGAGACTCCACCTCCCACCCCCTCAGGCTGGAACTAGGCCTCAGGGCCTGATCTCAGAGCATTTTCCCAACTCTGCTGCAGCTGACAGCAATGTAGCCAGATGGTGACATCTAGAGGCAGCCTCTGGGTCTCACATTGCCTCATCCACAGAACCCCACAGCAGCAGGCTCCCTACTGCTGTTCCCATCATGTCACCCTCAGAATTTAGTGTCCAAGCCACTGGACAGAGCTCAGACAAGTCCCAGGTCTCCCATTCCTCCATGCCAAAGTTCCATTTCAGGGTCAGTATAGCCCCTGGGTCCTCAAGTGAACTAAGAAACTCTCCCTTTCCACCAACCTAGGAGCGTGCTGGCTGCGGATATCATTCCGTTAGGGGCCAAATCCCCTAACTCTCGCCCCACACTGTCCTGCTTTGTCTCGAGGTGGGGTCATCCTAGAGGCTGAGCCAACTGTCTTCTCAAAGTTCCACATTCTCACCTCCTCCTTTCCATTTGTGTCCTGAGTCCCAAGTAGAGCGATAAGAACGAGGCGGTTGGTTGGCGCATTGCTGTAGATCTTACTATTAGGGAGAGCGTTGACCACGACTCTAGTAGAATAGAATGCCTCACATGGTATCACCTTCCATCTGTCCAGAGCATAGAATCATATATTCTATATGGTTGCTGGTGTGACTCCACTAGACTTGGAATTGCAAGCTGTATGGTCTCTCTCTATACTTATAACACACGCGCATATCACATATAATTATGTTAGACACTGATGCGCACACAGACTGGGTGTGTTTCCTCTCCTCTGTACTCTTTGACTCCATTCGCGCTCTTTTGACTCTGGTCTCTTAGCGCGGTTTACATCTACCCTTACTTGGACTTGACCAGGTTAATACGCATACGGCGAGCGTGTGGTCCACTTCCATAGTGTGCTTGCACATCCATTGATCGATACACACAATGCTCGTGGCTCCCTGATGGCACCCTTCTAGGATGAACACTGGGCAGGGAGAGCGAAGAGCCAGCGCCAGGGGCTTGTGGGGCGTCTAGGGCTGGAGGGAGAGGGAGCGCAACACCTGCAAGGACTCAAGAAGTGCACAAGCTGTGGGGCGACCGATGTGATACAAGCGAATTCTGAGCGCTCATCTCTAAGCGAGAAAATTTGGGGGATATACTCCGCCTGCTGCCAGCCTGCCCCTAACACTTGCCTCCTAGGATGTATGAAGGAGGTTGACACTAAAAGGGGAGAAGTTTCTTTATAAGTTGGACACAGCTTGAGGACTTCTCGAGAGGTGGCTACTATGACACTGGAGAACCTCTTTAACACTCAGGAACTTTTGTGCCTTTTCCGAGACTGTGGAATATAGGTCAGCCAGTAACGGTGCCTTGCCATTGCTTCTCATCGTCTGGCCTCCGCCTTGCGCTTCTCAGACTAGCTCGCGTGCCCTCGAGGGTTTACAACTGCCTAAATTGTTTGCAGCGGTATGACAGATTGGGACCACAGCGGAAGATGCACTAGGGTGACGCCCACGCTGCTTGGGACTCTGGTTGGATCATTCGTGATGGAATCGTTTGAGGGCCATTATCGTAGTACACACCCTCGCATCGTAGTGCTTGTCTCGGTATATGGACCATTCCTCCCCTGACCTGTATGGACATCAGAGGCCAGTGTCAAAGAGTCCTCTGGCTCAGCACATCTCATGGCGCGGGGGTCAGGTGAGGAGGAAGAGTGCGCAGCGCCCGTATGTTATCGAAAGAAATGTCGTGCACATGAGATAGCAAGCTTTGGCGAGACATTCCTTCGGTCCACCTGCTTCCCACGAGGTGAACGTCATTAAGGTCTGTGTCCAGAAAACTCTGAGATAGGCAGGCAAGTCACAGGGTGGAGCACTAAGAGTGGGCTCCCAAGTGCCTCTCCACAGACCAATTTTCAGGGGATCCAACCTAATTTCCTCAGCAGTAAAAGTCAGCAAGAAGAGGAATTCTGGCCTCCTCATCCCCTGTGGCCCCCAGCCAGGCTGTTTCCAAAACCAAGACATGCTTGGAGAATGCAGATGAGGTCAGGGGTCAACAGGACCAAGATACTCTATTTGTGACCCACAAATAAAGGCTCACATATCCTATAGAGAGCCACTTGGAATGCTGGCCAACCACACTTTGAGGGTCACCAAGCTGGGGACCATTTAGGGACCTTTAGTAGCATCAAGTAAAATGGAGTGAAAATGCTGGAGGTAAAAAATGAAACTTAAAGCTATACATTTATTTTTTTTCAGCCAGGTATGGTAGTATATGCCTGTAATCCCAGCACTCAGGCGGCTGAGGTAGGAGGCTCTTGAGTTGCAGGCCAGCCTGGGTTATAGTGACACCCTGGCTCAAAAAATATTAATTTTTCCTTAAACAGTCCAAACAGCCCAATTTTTAAAATTTAATTCTCTTGTGTTCCTTCTATTTTTCATGTTCCAAAATAATGGGTGAGACATTAGATATAAATTGAGTGTATTTACACTGACTTCTAACAGCCAAAGCAATATCAAGAGTTATCAGAACTTTCCCTGGCTGTGGCAGCTCACACATGTAATCCCAGCTACTCAGGAGGTGGAGACAAGATAACCATCTGAGGCCAAGCCAGGAAATAGTTAGGAGAATCACAGTCAGAAGTTGACCTGGGCAAAGGCTTGTGATCTTACCTGACAAACAAACTAAAAACAAAAGGATTGGGACCATAGTTCAATGGTTAAGTGCTTGCCTAGCAAACATAGGCTCTGAGTTCAATCCTCATAGAATTCTCCATTCTATTCTCAGCAATCACAAAAAAAAAAAAAAAAAAGCCTTCTCACCTCCTTTCAGCACCACCAACCTCTCCCACCCTGTTCCTCTACCCTGACCCAAAACTACAAACACCTTTCTGAAAGCCCAAATTGGGGACAATACTTAGGACTTGACTAAAGCCCTGGCCCTACCATGATGTCATGGATGTTTTTCCAACCTGAGCCTCTGTTTTATCATGTTAGAAAAGTGGAGGGCAATAGCTCCTTATATTCCTATCAGATTCCCAAGACTCCTCTTTGCAACTTTCCCTTCCCAAAATCTGCTCAAGAAAGGATAAAAGGTTAAAGTGATGGATGTGCTAATTACCCTGATTTGATCTTTACACAATGAATACATGAAGTGACACATCACATTGTACCCGTCAATATGTACAATTATCATGCCCATCAAAAAAATCTGCTCCTTCTCAGGGCCCAGCTTAACCCCTGACCTCACACTAAAGGCTAATGACGGAATATTTGTATCTGCATTTCGCTAAAGCTCCACTGGTGCCGTCCTTACACCTGAGCAATAGCAGTCTAGGTGCAATGAGGTACCACATTGTTGGGAGGGTGGGAGGGAATGGGGTCCTCAGTTCTATCAAGGTAGATGCCTAGACCTCGTGTCCAAAGCTGACCTTACACTTACTATTAACACAAATGTTGGTTTTGAAAAGTTCAGTAAAATATGAAATCCAAGGTCATGGAGACCCTCAAAACAAAACTCATTTTCTTTTTCTTCTCTAGTCTCAGGTCTTTAACACTTGGTTAACATGAGGACTTCCTGTGTGCTCAGCAACCACCAAATATTTCTAGAGCACCAAGACTTCAGGCTTCATTTTTGAGTGAACTTTTTTTCTTTTTGGACAGGGTCATACTATGTAGCTCAGGCTGGCCTTGAACTTGTGATCCTCTTGGCTTAGACTTCCAAGTGCTGGAAGCACAGGCACAGCCACCATGCCTCCCTTTGGGTAGATTTTTAAATAGCCTAAGAGCTCTTCCTTGATTAGATAAAGACAGTGAAAGAAAAGTTGGCTTAATCTAGTGTCCTAAGGACTAGAAAAATTAGTATTCAAACCAAAGGAGACCAGACTTCATTTTGTTTTTCATTTACAAGTTTTACTTATATTTAAGATATTTCTCTAACATTTAAGATACTTCTCTAACAGTTTTAAAAAAGGGTCAAATACAAACATTGGAACACAAATGCCAGTAATTATTAAAGAACATGGTTAATGATTGTCCTAAGAAAATGCTCAGTAAGAAATATTTTCTGAGGCAAGTTAGACAGCAGAAGCCAGAGGAGGGAGGGACAGAGGCATAGATGCTCCAGAAACTGCCACAGAGCAGCCCAAACATGCTGGCCTCAAGGCTATGCATCACAAGATATACCCCCCAGCCTTGATCCTCCTGATTCAAGGCCAGGCAGGGTTGTTTTTTTGTTTGTTTTTACTGTCACTGGAGTCACATTTCAAAGTCATCCTGGATGACTTCATTCCAGGATATTCTGGTTTAACCTGGGAAGTAAAGGCTTCCCAAAAGCTGTCAAATGAAGATAGGTCACCAAGGGTGATGGACAAAAGTTAAGCCAGACTCATTCTGAACACATTCTTGTTGTTGCACAAAGTTATAGTCTTCCTGAACTCAAGTTTAAGCTGTTTATATTTCATTTATGTTTAAAAGGTGCCAATTCACTTGTGTCTCAACTGAGTTTTGCCCAGTGTGCCTAATACTAGGGAGCTTTTAGGTTCTGAGAAAAATGCTTATATATTGAAATACCTCAAGATTTACCTTTTCATTATAGTAAATTAGCTTTAATGTTACAACACCTCAGAAAGCTCAATCTCAGTAATTTGAACTACCATACTAATTTTAGAACTAATACCATCTTCTGCCTATTTTGACCAATTTTTAAAGTCAACAGCGCTTTATTATTTGCACATAAAATTTCCAAATTATGGCAATATCAAAGTTTCTTACATAAAATCATACATGTCATTTTAAGAACCAAAGCATACTTTCCTAAAATTTACATCTAAAATATTAAATGGTAAATCTCATTGTTTAAATTTTAAGTCTGAAAGTTGAAATATACAAAGAAACAACAAGGACCACTAACTAACCTTTCCAATTGCAGTGTCCTGTAACCTATTTGCTCCAGGAAAGCCACTGCCAAGAACTGTGGTCAGAGACAGCTAGACTGAAATTGAACCAGAAGCAATGCACACATAAAAGGAGCTGAGGTTCACAGTGTGTGTGTGTGTGTGTGTGTGTGTGTGTGTGTGTGTGTGTGTGTGTGTGTGTGTGTGTGTTGGGGGAGACTAAGAGGGGGAAAGGAGTTAGGCAGACAATAAAATCAGCCATTCTTCTCTCTAAATATATATCAAGTAGAAAGCAGGAAAATCTATTAGGCAGAGAAAAAGCACAGACCTGCTTGGAGACACAAGCGGGAAGTCTGTGTTCTGTCAACTGGTGCAAAGTTACTAAATCAGATATATTTATGATGCAGGCCAGGCTCCAAAGTCAGAATCAGACACTGTATGCCAGGGTTTAGCTGGCATGAAAAACCAAGGGCAAAGAAAATGTCAGACAAGTAGAGAATAGTAGTGATTCACATTTTTTTTTTTTGCAGTGCTAGGAAATTAACCCAGGGCCTCAAGGACTACCACTTCAGTATGTCTCTAGCCCTTTTGTTTCTGAGGTAGGGTCTGATTAACTTTGCCTGGCTAATCTCGAACTCATGATCCTTCTGCCTCCACCTCCTAACTAGCTGGGATTACAGCTATACACCATTACACCTGACTGTGATTCACATTTTATTTTGAGTTAAGGTCTAAGAGATCAGAAGGAACAGTAATAGTTTCAGAATAAAAGGAGTGAGGCTTAAATACCCCAAAATAGAACTTCTTACAGGAAATCAGGTAATTAAGCAGGTACAGTGGAAAGTATACAGAGAAATACCCCAGTTCTTGACAGTTAGCGGAGGCACAGTTAACGTGAGGAAACCAAAGCCGGCTATTTGCTTTTCTGGTTATTTGGCATGAGGGAGAAGAGACAAGGGAAGGATCAACACATGCAGCTGCACTACATTGAAGAGTTCTGTCCGGTGAAGTACAGGAAATTAAAACTGTTGGTTTTGTGGGATAATCGCACAAAAAATATATTTGTGTTTCCATTTAGGGACACATTTCCTGTTGTTTAAATAACACAGCCACTCATAAGAGGAAATCCATCCCCCAAAAAGGAACGTGGGTTAATTTTCAGGTACCTCAATGACTCTGCAGCCCATGGAAACCATGACAAGTTACGTTTTTATTTTTGCCCAACTCCTATACTAAATATGGTCTACTTCTTGAGGATTAGTAATGCAATTTATAACAGTCAGAGGCAGGTGTCCCATCTGAGAAGTCTCCCTTCTCCCCATGGCCTCTTAGGGTGCAGACAGAGGCCCTCACCTAGAGGCTGTTCTTCTTCGTGTTTTTACTTCTCCAGATTCAGGCTGAATCTTAAATCTACAAACCTCTGATTAAACCTGTCCTGCCTAAATGTCTGACACAACTACCATGTGACCATATTGTCTCTTTTCTTGCCACCACTTGCCACAGGTAAAAGACTCTTTCTAGCAGCCACAGGGTAAGGCTAGGGAGCACAGAAGTAGAGGATTATGTCAGATGGGATTAACAGAAGAATACTTGAGATATATAATCAGAAAAGCTAAATGCTATGAATAACCCCCCAGAGGTTAAGACCGCAGGACATTTTATTAATATAGGAAAGGCCAGGAGTTAAGGATTAGACATAAATTACCTCCTCATACGGCTCAACAGTTCAGGCTTGGAACTTAGTGGCGGGCCCATATACTACCCAAGTAAATTCAGCTAGTCCAGAGGTCTAGATCCTCTAACCCTCAGCTGACAAACAATACACCTAAACGTGCTTACAGTAGGCCAGTTTGCAGGTTTGAGGATTCAGTTTTAAAATGAGCTGAAACAGAACTAGACATGTATTCCAGAATGTATTCACAAGAATAATCAAAAAAGTTAGAATATTGCATAGAAAAGTGTCCTGTCATATAAGTTGCAAACCTAGGCTTTTGTAATTAAACAAATAAAAAACTTCATAGCCTAGATGTGCGTGAATGTGAATTCAGAATTATCAAACTTACAGTTTTTACAGTTGGATCTCAGAAGATCCTGAAGTCTTTTATTCTCAGAAGCATGATTAAATTTACCCTTTGAAAGTTCATGATGACACAGTTTAACCATGACCTTAGAAAGTACTTGTGCTACACGAACCCAAGCCCATTCTGTGGTCTTTATTCTCTGCCCTCTTTGCAGAGGAAATTTGCAAAGATCACAGCTACTGTTATTAAACCTAGGCTGTCTTTTTTTCTTCTTCTCATGTTAGTCAATTATTCAGTAAGTTCTATCTGCCTGTCTTTTGAACAGTAAGGTTTGAATTGCTCATTTAAGAGTAAGTGAAAATATTTTTAAACAGCATTTATGTTAGCCTTGGCAATAGGATAGAATTTCTTAACTGCCCTTGTAATATTCGTTAATTGAGTCTGAGTTAAAATACACTACAGTGACAGTGATATCGTCCCTGTACATCCTTGCCAAGTCCTCTGGTAACGTCAGCATCGTGGTCAGCCGCTCAGGCTCCATCTCCCCATACTCATTGCTCCCGATGGCATGTCTGATCAGATGCGTTGCTGCGTTCTGGTCAGCCACGTGGAGCCCGTTGGCTTTCCTCTGAAGCAACAGACTCTGCATAAGCCCCAGGTTGGCAGGTCTCTGTGCTAGGTCTGGCTTGTGGTGACCTGCCTTGGACAGATGCCCTACTACAAGCCTGATCACATCCTCATTGCCCAGCATGTCCCACAGGCCATCTGAGGCCAGCACAAGGAACTTATCCTGGGGTCTCAGCCTGTGGTATGTAACTTCAGGCTTGGCAGTCAGATAGGGTGGAGTGTAGTAGTAGGGGGGTGTGAACTGGTAAATGTTGAGGGCGTCAGTATCAAAGCCCCTCTCCAGGACACTGCGCTGTAATTCTTTACTCCACTTCAGTTGTACGTCTCCGAAAGCTCTGCAGGGTATGAGGACACCCAGAAGTCTGTCATCCATGATGAGTGTCCCGTCCTCTGACTCGGGGTGTTCCCTCTTAAGCCGGGACAGCTCAGCCTGGTTCCAGGCATTGTGGTCATTGGTGAGGGGTAGACAAGACCACATGCCATCAGTTTCCTGGACACCCAGGATAGCCCGGCAGTCACCAGCATTTGCCACATGCAAGTGAACTCCACTGATATGGGCCATGCAAGCTGTTGCCCCAGAGAAAGCAACCTGGAGCGACAAGTTTTTTGTCACTTCATCTTCCAGGGGAGCCTGGACTTCTAGCGTGATGTCAGAGTCCAGTCTCTGAAAGGAGTACTTTAGAGCTTCCTCAGTATTCAGCCCTATTTCCATATGCAGGTCAAGCAGCTCCTGCCAATAGACACGGAGGTGGTCCACATGCACTGATGTGACATCCTTATAGATACTGTCCCCCGGGTGCTTGAGCCACTGTAGGATGGGCAGCAGGGGCTTCACATTTTCCATCGCTTCCTCCATCTGCTCCAAGGTCTGATGGGACATCAGGGACACTGCTATATAGTAAAAGAGCCTCTCACTTACTGCTTGTGCACATGCATGACCACCATGTCCATCAAAGACACCAAACATCAGGCCCTTGGTCTGCAGACAGGAAGCTACACCTTGCCGGTCTTCTACTGGGGAATTGGCTGCCAACTGGTTGCTCTCAAACCGCAGCACTGAATTTGGGACTCCATCATCCACATCAAGAACCTTGTGGGCTGACTCACCAGCTCGAAGCATTTCATTTACTTGCTCAGGGCTCAGCTGCAAGTGGAAATCCTCTTGTTCAGTTGATGTGTGTCTGTAGGCTTTGGGCAGAGGGAAGCCACCACACGGAGAACTATTTCTTAGGGTGGGTAATGCCCGGGAAAAGAGCCTCCATTTCAAGTGATTCCCATTGGAGACATTCCTTGAGTATAAGCGTCTGCCCCCTTGTAATGTGGCAATGCGGCTCCTTGCAGAATTTAAGATCCAGAAGGACACAGTAGTTGACATTCTGAAACTGTAACAGCAAGTGGAAATTTTTTTAAGCATGAAAACTATAAAGTTTAAGAAAGCCTCAAAATTTAATCTCTTAAAAATACCGACTCCTGAAGCATTTGCTAATATCCTGAACAAAAGTGATCTAAACCATTTAAAAGAGTTGCTAAGCTCAAAATATTAAATAAATATCCCCCATCCTCATTATAACAAACACATTCCAGGAATCAGGTTTTTATACACTCTGCTTTTACGGAGACAGACTTTTTTTTTTTTTTTTTTCAGTAATGAGGTTTGAACTTGGAGCTTCACACTTGCTAAACAGGCACTCTACCACTTGAGCCACTCCACCAGCTACTTCTTCCTAGCTGACCTAGGGACTACTTTTCCTCTCCTTCCTAAATCCTTTCTCATGTCAGAGCCTAGTGTCTAGCTCTTGTGTCACAGTCTCCTCAACCGTTTGTAACTTCACTGAAGTACCTGCTTCCCCATCCATTTACTACATGAATTTAGGAACTATAGCAGTAACTGCCTTACCAGCAACTCTCCAGTGTCCAGCCCTGTGCCTGGCATACAAAAGGCTCTCAAATATTGGCTAAATATTGGTTAAATGTTGGTAGGGAGTGGTGGCTCCATGCTACACAGGAGGCAGATATCAAGAGGATCTCGCCTGGAGACTTTCCCCCCGGGCAAAGGGAAGTTAGCAAGATTCCATCTAAATCAATAAGCAGGGTGTGGTTAGGCATGTGCCAGTGATCCCAGCAAGTGGGAGGCTATAAGGTAGGATAGACATCTGGGGCCGCCAGGTGGAAAAAACTCAAGACCTCCTATAAAAAATAACCCCCCCAAAAAAAAAAAGAGGACTGGGGGCATTGCTCAAGTGATAGAGCTCCTTCTGCCTAGCAAGTGTGAGGACTTAAGTTCAAACCAAAAAATTGACTATATGTGGCACTTTCAGAGCCCTAATGGCACATTAGGTGTGACATACTACTTCACTACTTCACTAGTCTGAACTCGAATTATCCACTTGGTGGGATGGGAATAAACACCAGTCTCATAAGGTTTTGTGAGGATTTAATAAAATATGACCCTTCCCTTCAAAAAAAGAAAGTTACTGTTTTTGTCATTAGGTGTATACACTTTTAATCATTCTGAACGTTTTTATATTGTACCTATAGCTTTAATTTGGCTTCCCCTTTAAGAGCAATTTGGGGTGATAATACAGTTAATGGACATATAATATGCCATTTTGGCATCAGCAACCACAATTTACTTATCCCCTCTTCCTGGGGATATGAAGGTGGTTTTATTAAACTAACTGCATAGCCTTATGAGACAACCTTTTCCTTACTTAGATTTTATCCTACTTATTTCCCAAAGGAGGAGCCAATCAGTAGGCCAAAGGGTGTAAACTCATATTGTCAAACTGATTTCCCAAAGCTTCTTCATAAAATCACTTAGGAAACAGGGAAACTGTTTCCTGGTACCTTCACCAGCTTCTAGATGTATTTTCTGGGGAAGGTGGGGGGCAGGCTGACCTATTATATTTAGCTTCTCTCTGGAGCTGGTGAAGGTGCATGTCCCATGTGCTTTCGGATTTCATTTCTGAATCCTGCCCTGCCCACGTTTTGTCTGTTGGGATCTTGAAAGCGCCCAGCATTGAGAACCGTTCCCTGCCCACCCCGCTGCACTTGGGGGCAAACGAGGTCCGTCACGGGTGCAGAGGGCTTCAAACGCTCATCCTGCAGAGACTGCAGGCAGTGGTGCAGGACGCGAGGCTCTACGCCGCACCCGTTCCCAAACAATTTCGCGTAGCTAAAGAACACAGGTCTCAAGTTCAAGTCTCTGACCACAGCCTCAAAGCTAAGTGCGCGGGCTTCGTCTCGTCTATCAGGGCCATCTCGCCGAAACCCCTTGTGGCCACATCCCAGCTATGTACTCTCGGGCCAGCCGCTTGGTATCCCTAGCTCTGCTTCCCAGATGGGAATTCAGTTGGGTCCCCGTGCTCACAGGGTGATCCAGGGCTAAAGCAGCTAGCGCCGGTGAGCCGGTACGCAGCCGCGTCCTCCGCCAGTCCGCGGGCCCACGTGGCGCGTGCGCGCGAGTGGGGTGACCGTGACCCGAGGCCCAGCATGTCCCGCCCTCCCACCTCACCTCACCTCATCTCATCTCCGCTCTCCGCCCCATCACCTGAGCGGGTGCTACCGGCAGGGGACAGCTGGGAGCCCTCGAGGCGTGGTGGGGGAGGAGGACACCACTCGTTCCCTTCCTTACCTTGGACCTTCGCCCACTTCTCACCCGCAGGCGCCGCTGCCACCCGATCTGTCCCTTCAGCTCAGCGCCTGCGTACAATGAAGCGACTGCTGCTACCGGGGTCTCACTTCCCCAAAGAGGCCTGCAGTCGGGAACCAGCTTCTAAAGAAAGCGTCCTCCCGCCAGCCATGATTGGTTTATATTTGGAGGCGGGTCCTTGACGAGCAGCGATTTTACCCAATGACTGAAGAGGAAAAGAGGAAGGCAGAGGGGCGAGGCCGGTAGGAAGCTGCACCGCCCTCCACTCTACTAGCCGCGAGTCGGATTTAATTGAGCGCCTGCAACGGAACCGGGCAGTCAGGTGCTCGAGCCCTGCACTCTGCCACCCTCCACACCCTAACGGAACGACCTCTCCAGTTCCCTACTGTTGTTAATGCCCCCCAGAGACTTCCTCTCCATTTCGATGTCCATCCCTCCAGGCCCCTCTCCTAAGGGCCACACCCTTTACTCAATCACGAGCTAATCTGCCCATGGGGGCTCCCGTGAGCGCCTTAAGTATAACTTGTCCTGACCTCATTTTCTTACCAAACCTTCTCTTCCTCTCAGAAGACCCAAGTCAGAAGCCTAAAGGTCTGGCCTTCCTTCCCCTCCCAACTCTCCTTCCGGAATCTAATCCTGTCAATCTCATCTCCTAAGCACCTCCCCATCTACCTATTTGCCTCCAGCTTCTCCACCCTATTCCAAATCCATTGTTTGGTCTCCCTACGGCTAACTTCAACTTGGTCCTAATTACCCTTTCTCTACAGAGCAACTAGAATGACCCTTCTAAAACTCAGATTACTATTCTAAAGTCTTTCGTGGCCCCCCACCATGTCCGGCTTGAACTCAGAAGTACACAGTTGGTAGGCGGAAAAGGCAGAGAACCAGAGCATCAGATATTCCCTCCATTTCATTTGGTCCTAACATTGTGAGTCCAGTCAACTATTGCTTCCTTTTAAACTATTTTAATGGAACTCTTCTTACCGTGTTAAGTCAAATGGAGACCTTTCTTGGAGACACAGAAAAATGAGAGCTAAGCAGAAAAGGCCACTTGGAGACCCGTGAATGTGGCTTCCCGGAAGAAGACACGCTGGCTTATCTGAGGAGCATGGCCAGCCTACCCGGACCCAAGGACATGCCTGCAGTAAAACTGCTCTCATCACACTTGCCCTGCCACTCACTCTTAGCCCTTTCCAGAAGTTCCAAGTCAGGATTGACAATGTTTTCTCTTCCTGGACATTGAGGGGTCTGTTTCAGACTCATACTAAAAATAACACTTAAATAAAAGGATGTGAGAGAACTGGGAAGCACATTTTGTTTTTGTACAAACAGCTCACTTGAGTTTACAGAGGGTTAATCTTTAGGACAGAGGCAGCAGGGTTAAATTGCTCAATCTGTGGGTCACAAGGGTGCCCACAATGTGACAGGCCCTGGGCTGACTCCTAGAGGCACACGGGTGGCCACTACCACTTTTCTGAGAAAAATTTCATTGCTTTAAATATGAAACTATAGAGTTTCTTGCTGATACACTATACCCACATGTCCATCTGTGTGGATATGGTATACACTAGAACTTTCACTTAAAAGCTATAACCAGTTACTTCACTGTAAATGGTCTCCAACTCTCCCCCACGCAGTCACCTTAGGCCTCTCTGTTCAAAGATCTTATAAGAAACAAATGAAGGAAAAGGATTTACCTTCCTTTGAGAAAGGGAAAGCACAGCTCAACTGGCATTTTGGAGAAATGTAAAAAGAGTCAGCCTCACCCAAAACCAAAGAGATGTGAATTAAAATGAGGTATTGAGGCAGTACTAGAGGGTTTTTTTTTAATAGTATATATTTTTTAAGGTTTCTTTTTTATTATTATTTTATTATTCATATGTGCATACAAGGCTTAGGTCATTTCTCTCCCCTGCCCCCACCCCCTCCCTTACCACCCACTCTGCCCCCTCCCTCTCCCCCCACCCCCTCAATACCCTGCAGAAACTATTTTGCCCTTATTTCTAATTTTGTTATACAGAGAGTATAAGCAATAATAGGAAGGAACAAGGGTTTTTGCTGGTTGAGATAAGGATAGCTATACAGGGAGTTGACTCACATTAATTTCCTGTGCGTGTGTGTTACCTTCTAGGTTAATTCTTTTTGATCTAACCTTTTCTCTAGTTCCTGGTCCCCTTTTCCTATTGGCCTCAGTTGCTTTTAAGGTATCTGCTTTAGTTTCTCTGCGTTAAGGGCAACAAATGCTAGCTAATTTTTTAGGTGTCTTCAGGGCTTCACACTTGCTGAGCAGGTACTCTACTGCTTGAGCCACGCCTCCAACTCTTGAGTTACTGATTTTTGTCAACTGCCCTGACACATATTAAAACATGATTTAGATACCTATTGTAGGGGCATTCCATCTCAGCAGGCAGGAATATAAACTGAGGCATACCTTTGATCCACTAATTCCTCTACTTTCAATTCCTCCTAAAGAGGCAAAGGTGAACATGACACATTTTCAACCACAAACATAAATCACTCCATCTAGCATAACTTGTATAATCAGGAGGGGAAAAGGAAAAACTATATATATATTGTGTGTGTGTGTGTGGAACTGGAGTTTGAACTCAGGGCTCCTTGCTGGCAAAGCAGGCACTCTACCACTTGAGCCACACCTCCAGTCCATTTTGCTCTGGTTATTTTGTAGATGAGGTCTCAAGAACTATTTACCAAGGTTGCCTCCAACCTTGATCTGCCTGATCTTAACCTCCCAAGTAGCTAGGATTACAGGTGTGAGCCACTATCGCCTCCAGCTAAAACTGTATTTAAAAAATTTTTTTGCAGGACTGTGGTTTGAACTCAGGGCCTCAGGCTTTCTAGATAGGCACTCTACCATTTGATCCACTCTGCCAGCCCCTAAAGCCATTTGAAAAACAGCTAAGGAACTGGGAGCCAGAGACTCATGCCTCCATTCAAGGCCAGCCGGGGCAAACAGTTCATGAGACACCACCCCCCATCTCCCAAATAACCAGAACAAAATGGACTGGAGGTGTGGCTCAAGCGGTAAAGCACTTGCAAAGCCCTGAGTTCAAACCCCAGTCTCACCAAAACAAAGCAAAAAACAGCTGAGAAGTGACTGGAGTAAGAGGGAGATGGATCTCTTGGATGATTCTGGGAAAATTCCTGATTCTTTAGCTATGCAGACAAGACTTTCTATGGAATGTTAGAAAAGCTGGATTTGAGGACCGTCTTGTGCTAGGAGGACCTGAGGTGACAGCAGCCAGTTTCTGTCTGTTAAAACTACAACATGCAGCCTGATATCTGGGAGAATTTACAAAAACCTTAGGTGGCTTTGTTCCTTACCAGTAATCAGAATAGACTGTCCTGGCAGTGGTTCTGTGGCATCCTTTCTGTCTAGGGATTCTGAATAAACCTAGAAAAGCCTTCTTGTTGATCTGTGCTTAGAGACAATTGTCCCTGAGACCTGTGCCAGCCTAAACCAAGTGATTTAACTTCATCACCTTTTAGGCAACCAGGTAACTTTTCCCAACACTGCCGTCTGGAATGGACTACAGAGGTGAGTGCACATGCGTGTACACATGCAGAGCGGCTACCCATCTCTGCAAAGCCTCAAGTTCAGGGACGTATTTAGCAACCTCCAGGCTGTGCTAGTAACAAAAGCTTGGGGATTTTTGGAAAATACAAATCTGCTTGTATTTTCCAAAACTGCTCTGAAACAATCGTGCCAACAGGCTTACCAGGATGATTGTGCTCTAAGCTCCTGGAGTACAGAATCAACACTTGCCCTTCTGTAGAGGATGAGCAGTCCCTTGGGGAAAGATGATCTGAGTTTCTCAACCTCTTTGAGACTTTTCCAAATATGAAACAATCTTTTACCCACTTTTCATGGCACAGCTGCACACAAGGCTGCAGTGATCTGGCTATAGGGGCAAAATAATCACTCTCTTTGAGGCCACCGTTCCCTCCATCTCCATTTAGGCCTTATTCACTGGAAAGCCCAGAATTTTCCATCACCCTGAGGGCTCCAAGGCTGAGGCCCAATTCTGCCACCTACTTGCTGTGTGGCCTTGAGCCAGTCAACTTCTCTGAATCTGTGTACGACTAATTGGAAGTGAGGGCAGTTATGTGGGTTCAGTGGTTGTCATTTGCGCTTTAGTTTCCTTCATGAAAGTAGGTTTGGAGAGGAGTGGAAGGAAGATCGTAGAAATCTGGTGTGGAATGAGGCAAGAGGAAGTTGGGAGGGGCTCCTGGCAGCCCTGCTAGAGCGCGCCCTTGCTGAGCCTTCTCCTGCAGCCGCGGCCGACAGGAGGCGGCCAGCAGAGGGCGCTGCCCGGCGAGCTCGCGCCCGGAGACCCCAGTCCTGGGAAACCGCGGTTTCAGCTAGGTGGTCACAATGGCCGTGAGCCTCGGCCTGTGCCACCTAACGAAAGAGCTGTTCACGAAACCGCGAGTGCGCCACAGTCCCTCCCCGCCCCTCCTGGGAAACTCTGGCAGGAACGAGCCTCTTGAGCAACTCCGCGTAGGGATCGGAGATTAGCCTGGGCTGAGTGCAAGGAGGGGGTGCAGGGTGTCAGCGCCCAGCCCCCGCTGGCCGCAGTGGCCCCACCTGGGCCTGAGCAGCCCAGCCCCCACTCCACATCTATCAGAACATGGAGCATGGGGTGGAACTGGCCAGGACAGAACGTTAAGTGGAAAAAGGAGATTAAGACCAAGAAGAGAGGGCATTTTGATAATGACGGCAATAATTAAGTTTTTCTCCTCCTCCTCTACCCATTGTGCATGCCGATTTTCCTGGATAGAAAAGTTAATAGGACACAAAAACCCATCAGTTAACAATGCTCAGCTCTGGGTCACGAAACTCTGTGCGAACATTCACATTCTTTATCTTTCCATTTATTTCTTTACTTTTGAAACGTGCAGGCTGTATTCAATCATCAGGAAACTCCAGTAGTATCTGTCCTGCGCGCGCGCGCGCACACACACACACACACACACACACCCCTATGAGTGGGGGGCACTGTCTACTTCCGGGAGTCTGAGAGGCAGCTGGGAAGAGGGTAAGGTGTAGGCACAGTCCTGGAGGGGAGACTG